CAGTCCTCGACTCGATTTTCTCCTTTTTTCCTCTTACACGGGTATGAAGCCACTTTACCTAGTGCAGTTAATGATACCATCACTCTTGGTTGCGATAATGCCATCGAATATGCTGAATTAGTTAGTACTTTGTTAGAAGTAAAGAGAAAAATCGCTCAAACCAATATTGAAGATAGTCAGACCGCAAATAAAGCTCGATATGACTCAAAACATCGACCAGTGATTTACGAACCTGGTGACAGAGTCTTAGTTTACACTCCTCGACGGAAAGTAGGAAGGTCAGAAAAATTATTACACTTCTTTTATGGCCCTTATACTGTTCTCAAGCGATGTGGATTGAATTCTTATCAAGTAAAAGGTGACAAAATTTCTGATAGACCTGACATAGTACATGTGAGTCGAATGAAACCTTATCGAGATAGACTTCACGAATGGAAGATATGACAGTGAAAATGAAACTGGACTAATCGGACAACAAGATTCTGAACCTGAACTTGAATGGGATGAACTTCCTATCCAAACAACTCATGGGTCTGACATCATTGATCGTAGGTCTGACATTGCTAACCATAGGTCTGACATTGTTAACCATAGGTCTGACATTGCTAACCATAGGTCTGACATTGTTAACCATAGGTCTGACGTTATTGACCATAGGTCTGACATTGCTAATCATGGATCTGACACTGTAAATTCCAGGTCTGATAATAAACGTAACCTTTCACCACTCACCACTCATCATAGTGATAGTGAGACTTCGGAGTCTGAAGAAACAGTTTATTATCGTTTTCCCTCGCCGCAAAATACTCCACCGAACTCACCAGAGCCTGAACTTCAGCCTAGACGAAGTCAGCGACAGAGAAGAGCACCAAACAAACTCACTTACTTGCTCTCTCACAGTCTCTTTTTATTATTAATTTGTCAAATTACCAACATTCAGACCGCTTTTATAAAAGCAAATCCAGTTATCTGGAGACCAGCAACTACTCCAATTATTAGTGGAGATATTGAAGTTGATATTGGAACAAAATACTATGAACCGTGTGCCGGCTTGTCACAAGCTTTGATTGAACACAATATGCAACCAGACTTCCTAAATTCTTGGTGTAGAAGTGCGTTTGAAATTTCTTTTCTAAAACAGATTTCACAAATGTGTAAAGACGTTACAACTGAGGCTGATAGTAAAATGCAAGTCAGGGATAAAAGGTTTCTTGTACTAGAATCTGCCATGATAATAATTGGTGTAGTAAGTGTCCTTTCATTAGGAATTGGTGCTGTCAGTCTAGCAGTCAGTTCAAAGACCCGGACTGAAGTAAACTCGTTGAAGTTAGACCTCGAAAAACAAGCCTCGATCATTCAAAATCTAACTACTAATCAAAGACTTTTTGAAAAAATGCTGGATACAATTGACCAACAAGTTAGAGTCTTACAAGTTGAAGTCGCTAAACAGAATAAAATCTTAGCTCGGATGAGAAATACCATCCCTACTACCTCTTTCACGATTGCCAGTATGGTTTCGAATTTACAAACGACTTTAACTCAATTGCGAGACATAAATCGTGCTTGGGCTAAAAATAAATTAGATCCAGCAATTTTTGACCTTTTGAATTTGACTTTACCTTGTGGAGGACAATGTCCGGTAGAGGCCGTCTACTCCATGAATTGTTACCACAATCCAATGGCCCAAAAATTGAGATTTGTCTTGAAATTCAGAAAAATAGATACAGAATCCAAATTGATGGTAGCCGATCCTTTCACTCTTTTAGATTATAATGAGACAACAGGTGAATTGTGTAAACTCCATTATACAGGACCAAAGTATGTCATTTATCGAAAGGGAGTAAAATGTACAATTCCCGTCAACAGTTATAATTCGGTAGAGACTGACACTCTTGTTGTCGTTCCTGACACTTCAAGTTGTAATTTAGTTGAGAGTAATAATACTCTGTTGAATTGGCAAGGTCACACATGTGAAATACGTCACTCTATTCAGGAAAACGAACTTTTACAAATAAAACCAATAAATGACATAAACATCATTTATTGTCCTGGTCTGACCATGAAGGCTTATGATCGCGATGTTAAATGTCCTGAGTATCCTTTCCAATTAAATTCACAAGAAAAGTTCACAATCGGTAAATTTCATTACGAAACCGATAAGTCTGCAATTAAGACCAACCTAAGATTTATTCCTGAAGCCTCAGAGAAGATAAATTTCCAATTAATGCCAGACTTACACATGTTTGATGCTGATGAATTGTTAGATTCATTAAAAGATAAATATAATAATCTAAAGGGTCAATTAAGACCTATTGATTTAAATGATTGGACACCACGACCCTTCGGTCTGACGCTTAACCTACTCTCTATGTTACTCTTGTTCATCATAATTTTCATGTGTATTTATGCTATTAAGATTCGGAAACGAATGATCATTTCACCCAGGGAACAACCTTGTCCTGAAGAAGTTCCTTTAGAATCTACGTCAGGTTGGAATAAGCGAGATGCAGTAACTACTACAAATGAACGACCAATGAAAGGAGATTTAAATAAATTCCTTGTACTCTCAGTCTTACTTACTTTACCAGTACCAGGCTTATTTCTTCCTCTAAATGAATCCAATATCGAGATTATTCAGATTTCATACAGAAACCCATGTCAAGAATTCTCAATACTCGAAATGAGAAACAATTGTCATAAACTGTTAAACGAAACCTTTCTCAGACCTCTGAGTTCAGTCTGCTCATTGAAACCTGAATTTCAAATCTTAAATCAGGAAACTTTTCCGTCAATCAATAACCGTAGAAGAAGATCAACTACCGATGAGATCAAATTAGTTGCCATTCAGACCAAGTTAATTATTATCAAGGAAAAAGTAATTAGATTTCTATCTGCTTGGGATTCAGGTGAAATTTCAACCGCTATGTTGAATGAAATAGGACTGAAAAATATAACTCGAGATGAAATTGGTCTACATTTAAGACTGAAACCATTATTCTGTGACATTGATACTCAGTGCCAACAACTAACTATTGGTTTCGTCAAAATTGAAAATTTCGCCGTTTATTATACCTGGTTAACCTCTTTATCTATTTTAATCATCATCTGTTTAATCATTTTAACCAAATGCATTTGGTCTGACAGAAAATCTGAAAGTGTAAAACTACGAAATATTACTAATCGCAGAGAAAGAATTCCTTCTTTTCCTCCACCACCACGATTATGGTTTGCTTAATTAATCTAGATAATCAACACCTTATATCTCATATATTCAAAACAAAGCAAAAAAAAAAAAACAGAGAAAAATAACGAGAAAAATCAAATAAAAATAATAATATACACTATTTACTCAATAATCCTAATCAGTTTCAGTCCGAACGTGTTTATTTATGTCTCATTATAATTTAGAAACATTAAATTTATTAAAATTCGCATTAAAAAGTTAATAATCATCATTTAGAATGAGAAATTGAGAAAAATTGGATTTTCGATAATCGAATACATTTCACTATCGAATATCGATATCTGAATCTTTACTAAGATTTGATATCGGATCCCAAAAACAAAAACAAAGATAAAGGAGATAGATTCCTTCAATGGTAAACTAAATGTATTGAAATAATTAAGTTAAAACGTGATTTTCAATTCAAAGTTTCTTTATTGATTTAAAGAGATTTTATTAAGTTCATTTTCTTAATGCTTTTAGCCAATTTTCTATCTCGCACTTTTGCAAACCTCGGCAATTTCCAATCTCCCGAGCATGGCCTCTCGCCAGATGTTGGGCTAAATTAGACCATCGTTTTGTTAAGTTGAAACTACAAGAAAAAGTGCACCATCGGCATTGTAATTTTTCATCCTTGAAATCGAACCCTTTCCAAATACCCCAATCCGGGTTTGTCTCCATCTTATTGGCCAGGAATAAGAATTCAGGTATACCTGTTTCCCTCATTCTTTTTATTGTTCGTTCCAAATGTTCTGCATCTGAATTGGTAACAACATCTAATCTATCGATTAAAACACAATCTAACAGTCTTGCTTCCAGTTCAAATTCGGTTAACCCTACGAGGTTATCTAAAAGCTAAAAAAAAAACGAAAGAGAGAAAAACGATTAAAATAAAAGCAAAAGAAAACACGATTAGCATTAAACTTACTTGCTTAATTTCGTCCATCATAAATTAGTTAATTAACTCCAAGAATACCACAAATTGCTTAATCTTAAATTCTGATTTAACTAAAAGAAAGATCACTTAAAACTGACGGAAATAAGGGTTGGAAGTCATGAACTTTGACCAATATGGCTGACCAATACAGTGGCGCCATCCAGTGACCTTTAGTTAATTTATGGTGAAACAGGAAAGTGCGCTAAATTCAAAAGTCTTAAAGAAAATAAAATGTTGTTTATCAATAAATGTAATGGCTTAATTATAGCCGAAAGAGGCTTCGGCTTAAATAAGTTGGGGAAGATGTAAGAATTGAGAAATTTTACTATTTCCAAGAATTGGTACCTCTAAATTTAAATATAAAATAAAGTTTGATCATAAAATAGTTCCCAGAAATCGGGATTAAACGTTTATCAAGAATAAAAATAAGATGCAAATTTCAAGTAAAAATAAGAAAAAGAATCTCATAAACATGTCAGACTAATGTATGAAGTAAATACAATTTATGTGAGAACAAAAATAGAGAGATGAAAGGTCACGTAGACCAGGTCAGGCCAAAAAGAGGTCAGGCCAATGGATATAAAAAGAAAAGAAGGGAGAAAAGAAGTCAGTCTCGAATAATAGTACGATTTGGACTCATCATCAGTAAAAAGTAAACATTTTGTATCTTACGAAAAAGTTAATCGAAGTGAAACAATAAAAAATTGAATTGTGAAACCAAGTTACTTTCTTATTTAATTTTTCCATAAGGTCTGACAGTAATGTCATTATGCTCCATTACCTCTCTTTCTCTTTACCATTTCATCATTTATCCTCACCAATTTCCCACCTTACAATATTATGGTATCAGAAACAATCCCATCAAATTTATTGTTTTCATCAGAAACTATCCTTTGCAAGGCAGCGTTCAATTCAGCGAAAATTTTGGCCTGAACTATTAAAGATTCTTTTTCGTCCAATGAAATTCCTTTAAAACGTTTCAACGGCTCTTGTCTAAATTTATCCGCAAATGCATCAATCCATTGGAAAATCGCACCCTCCAAATTCGTCTCACCCAATTGGTTATCAAACGGAATGAACGAAAATCCTCTTTTAACCGCTAAATGTCTGTGTTTTTCACGATGAGCAAAATAAACTTCATGTCCAGCAGCCTTTAAACCTTCAGCAAACCCTAAAGCTGCATTGATATGTCCATAACTGAAAATAAATGGAAAAGGTCAATTTTTTATTAGATAGTAAAAAATGTTCTTGTATTCGTTACAGTTTCATAATTCAATATCCAAGGACCTTATTATTTCTTATTTTATCTTGTGCAATATTATCGTTCAAGTTAACTCATATCTAATGTAATGTCACTCGAAACATCCACCACATCAAATTTGCACAGAAACAGGGGGAAGTAAACAATTTATAGTTTGATTCAGTTTTTTGATTAAATAAATTTTGAAAAAATTGTTTTCAACCTTTATGAATTGCCTAATTATACAACAAAATTACCAAAATTGAATTACAAATTAAGCTTGTAAATAAATTCGTAAAAAGGCGATTTCACCTAAATTGAAAAATAGTCAAAATGCTGACCCGCTCAACTGAAATTATTAGACGTTATGAATCTATTAAATATTAAATTTTTCGTGTATTAATTGAGATACTTACGAATCGATTGCTGTCACCAGAAAACGATAAGAGGTCATCTTTGATTAACTTGTATCACTGGTTAGTTTGATGATGAATTCAAGTCACTAATGAATCACCAGGATGAAACTGGTGTGAAATAAAAATGCACAATACTACTATTCAACTATACAACTTAAGCAATATAATTTAACTATTTCGTATTCTTTATTTATTCCGCAATCAGAGAAAGAAATCTGGATATCTCTGTTTCCATGAGCATTTCATGAAGATGATTGGTTAATTTTAAAAGCAATGAAATTTAATTTAACCATCTTCTATTGTTTGATGTTACAAGATAAAGGTGAAGGTTTCGGTCCTGAATACAATCCAGATGGAAAATAATAAGATAAGATTATTGTCTCATTTTAATCGATCCCTTTAATACACTATGCTATTTAGCTAATTCGGACCTAAATACAATTCACATTGTAAGGAATCGACACTACATTTTGCCTCTTTAATTTACAGTTGTAATTCAATGTCAGCCCCCATTAGTTTAATATCACATGTTTTGCTTTTCTTCCTTTTCCTCCTTTACTTAATATAAATACTGTAAAGTACCCGTTTAAAGCAATTTTTTTTCTCAGTCTCCATCTATGAACATGGATTGGAGAACAGAAGGATATTATAAAAACTTAGTGAAAACATGGGTAAATTAACCTTGTCAAGTAAATTAAATATAATTAAACAGATTGAAAATGGTGAAAAACAAGTCCTTCTTGCGTCCAACAATTCAGTTAATCCATCATCAATATCTAGAATGAAAAAGAATAGTGAAAATATTAAAATTGAAGCAGCAATAAATGGACAACGAACCCGATAGTAGTGTATATATAAGGGTTCTGGTGCAGTTGATAATGGAGAATGGAGAAGCTGTGGATATAAAAACTGTCCTAGTAATTATTATGTAAAATAAATAATTTTGATATAAAAATAGTGTATATTATAAATAGGATTTAATCGAAATATTTTAATTTTATATTTAGTTCTTCACCTATAGAATTATTAAAAGAAGTAATAGAATTATTTAGTAGAATTTTAGTTTTTTCAACTAATAATCTATTTGTTTCACATAGTATATTAAATTTTAATTTTTGATTGAGAATTTCTATTGCATTTAAATCTTCTAAATCTTCTGAATTTTCTGAATGGTCTAAATCTTTTAAATCTTCTAAATCCGTTAAATAATCTAAATTTTCTATATCTTCTAAACTTGTTTTTTCATAAATTTTAAAGAAATTTATAATTTTATAATATAAAACATTAATGATAATATCATAAGATAATTTTGAAGGTTTAAAATCTGTAAGGAATGATTCTTTAAGCATTGTTTTTATATACTCTTCTTCGCCACGACCCAGATCTAAATTAAATTGATATTCTTTTGCAATTAAATAAAATTCATTAAATAGAGATTTAACACGAATCATAGTTTGTTCTACATATTCATCAATGTATTTATCAATTATTATTGTATTTTCATCATCATCATCTAATGATTTTAAATTATTAGAAATTTTTTGTAAACAATTTTTAAGAGCGTCCATTTATTTAGATCTGTTTTATTTTTCAATGTGATAAATAATTAATCTAATCCTGGATGAGTGAATTTGAAATAAATTTGTCCATTACCATCAATATTAAAACCTTTAACACTTATAGGTATACCTTGTTTTTTCATATCTGAATTGCATTTATCTTCAATTTCTTTAATATCATTATCCATTCTTTCATTTAATTTTTCTTGATATAATTTTTGTTTAACTTTTTGTTGTAATCTATCTCTTGTATCATTCAATTTTTGTTTATAATCCATGTTGAAGCACAATTTTCTATTTATATTTTATACTAAAATTTCAAAAAAAATAAATTATTTAAATGGTTGATGATGAATTAACATTAGAAGATAAAAAAGTCTTAAAATCATTAATGAAAATTTTAAAAATTTATATGATAACAAATAATGAAAAAGAAATAAAAGATGGATTAACATTAGAAGATAAAAAAGTCTTAAAATCATTAATAAAAATTATTAAAATTTATATGATATCAGATGATGAAAAAGAAATAAAAGGTGGATTTTTACCACTTATAATAGCTGGATTAGAAGCTTTATATACAGGGGCTTTATCAGGTACAGCAGCTTATGGAGCTAAAAAAGCTTTAGATAAAATATCAGGTAAAGGTGCTAAATTACCAGAATCAAAAACCGGATCAGCATTAAAAAAGCTAAGAACAACATTAAAAAAGACAGGAACAGCATTAAAAAAGCCAGGAACAACAGTCAAAAAGACAGGAGCATCATTAAAAAAGCTAGGAACAACATTAAAAAAGACAGGAACAGCATTAAAAAAGCCAGGAACAACAGTAAAAAAGACAGGAGCAGCAATGAAAAAGCCAGAACCAACATTAAAAAAGACAGGAACAGCAATAAAAAAGCCAGGAGCAGCATTAAAAAAAACAGGAGACGCATTAAAAAAAACAAAAAAAGTTACGAAAAAGCCCTCTCTAATATCGAAATCAAAGAAGAAATGAAAAAAATTAAAAATTTTAAAAATGTGTACATGGTTGATGAATTACCTGAAAAAATTGAAAATAACGAATCTGGTATTATTAATTCTGATAAATCAAGTGGACATGGGATTCATTGGATTGCTTATTTTAATTCTGAAAAGGATGAAAAATATATATTTTTTTATGATTCATTTGGTTGTCCTCCAACAAATCAAATTTTAAAATATTTAAATAAATCTAAAAAAGATATAATTTATAGTATTATCCAAATGCAAGATTTGAATTCAATAGCATGTGGAAGATTTTGTATTGAATTTATTAAATATATGTCAAAATCAAAATCATTATTGTTAGAAAGTTTTTACGATTTTATTTATAAGTTTAAATTAGGTGGAGGTATTAAAGATGATGAAAAATTAAAGAAATTATATTATAATACTAAAACAGGATATAATTCTATAAATGAATTATCAAGAAGATCAGGTATATCAAAACCTAAAGTTAAAAATTTTTTAGAATCTCAAGATATATATACTAAACATAAATATTCTAAAAAAAGTTTTAAGACTAGAAAAGTATATGTTAATGGTATAGATGATCAATGGCAAGCAGATTTAGTTGAAATGATACCATATGCAAAAGAAAATGATAATTTCAAATATTTATTAACAGTTATTGATTGTTTTTCAAAATATTCATGGGTTATACCATTGAAATCCAAAAATTCTGAAGATGTATATAATGCTTTCAATAATATATTTGAAGATAGAATACCTAATAAAATTCAAACTGATCATGGTAATGAATTTGAAAATAAAAAAGTTCAATCATTATTTAAGAAACATAATATTAAATGGTTTGCTACATATTCAAATGTTAAAGCATCTATAGTTGAAAGATTTAATAGAACTTTGAAAGAAAAAATGTGGAGATATTTTTCAGATATGGGTAATAATAAATATATAGATGTATTAAATGATTTTGTTGAAAATTATAATAGTTCATACCATAGAAGTATAAAAATGACACCAATTGAAGCTTCTAAAAAAGAAAATGAATCTAAAGTATATAAAAATTTATATGGAAATGTTTTAGTTATAGCAGAAAATAAACCGAAATTCAAAATTGGTGATAAAGTTAGAATAAATAAATATAAAAACATTTGCTAAAGGTTATATTGGAAATTATACTGATGAGATATTTATTATATCACAAGTTTTAAATACTGAACCAGTTACATATAAAATAAAAGATTTGAAAAATGAAGAAATAAAAGGTATATTTTATGAACAAGAATTGACGATATTTAATAAAAAAGATGAAGAATATGAAATTGAAAAAGTATTGAAAACTAAAAAAGTTGGTAATAAAACAAAATATTTTGTTAAATGGAAAGGTTATCCTGATGAATTTAATTCATGGGTTAATTCTATAAAATAATTCAGTTGAATATGAACCTAAAATGTAACAATTTATTTTCATCGTATTTTATCATACCAATGTTGTATAATTCATGGCATAATGATGAAAGTTTATTTTTTAAAATATATGAATTATTACCTGAATTTCTTTCACCAACATAAATTCTCAATTTATCTACCAATTCATTTGAATCATTATAAAAGATTACTGATTTACCATATTTTGGTGTTTTAGGTACACCCATAAAAGATTTTACATCATTTAATCTCTTTTTATAAATATCTAATACTTCTAATTTTTGAATGATTTCATCTCTCATATCAATTTTTTGTTGTTGACTTAAATTTTTCATTCTTGATATTAAACCTTTTCTACCACCTAAAGTTCTTTGTAATTCAGTAACATTATCTAAAACTATTTTTAAATTTGTTTTTCTTTCAAATTCATTCAATTGTTTAAATTTTCTATCTAATGAACTAACAGTTGGTAAATTAAATTCTTTTAAAACATTATCATTTATATTATCATCAACAATCATAGCTATTTGTTCATGTAAAGAATCATCATTATCATCAATAATTTCATTAGTATAATTATTATTGAGATCTTCTTGAATAATTGGATTTGAGTTTGAACCATTTTCAATAGCTAAAGGTTGGTTATATTGAATTTGATTATTATTATCATTTGACATTACTTCTTTTTTTAAAAGATTAATAGCTGGTTTGAATTGTTTCTCAATTTTCATATTTGTATCAATATCACCATAAATTTTATTATCAATTTTTTGTTTGTTGAATCTTTTCAATTTTTCAGCTTTGAATAATGATTGAAGCCTTGCAACCTTTAAAATATTATTCATTTAATTTTGGAAATTTAAAATGTAATGTATAATTAACTTTGTCATTTGTATCAATAATTTTATTATTTTCATCTGTTATTCTCATTCTAATACTTCTAATAAAATTGTCTTTAACAGGTAAATAAATTGGTTTATTAGGATTAATTCTAATTTGTTCACCTCTATTAACATCTGTATTATAAACATAAATAATATCTTCATTCATATAATTATTACATATAGAACCTGAAACAATTGAACAATGAATCAATATTTGATTTATACCTTTTGTAATATCAACATTTTTAGAACCTGCAATAATTTTATCATTTTCATTTGTAGAAATTATAATATCTTCTAATCCTAATAATGCATTAAATTTACTTTTGG